GCTGCTTTACGTACATCTATAACTGGTTCTTCTGCAGCTATTCCCATTTCTTATGTGGAAGTCTTTTTTTTTTTTCCCACCTTATTTACTATTGATATCCTCTCCCCTTTCTTCTGCACCTATCCACGCTCAGTTTGGAGACATGAGCAGTTGATCTCCTGATCAGAGAYGCTGGATATCAGATGGACTCCACTAAAACGCTGTGGCTTCACAAGAGTTAATTAAAACAACAACTGGGCCAGTTGTGCAGCACAGATCAAGAATGGCAGGGCCATCAAAACAAAAATTAAAAATTAAACCTCACAGAGATGAGAGCTGGCTTTTTTTTTTTTTTTTTCCTCTCTCTCTTTTTCTTTCCCCAGCCCCATATAGAAATCCCGGACTCTACACACTGCTCTCAGGTTCAGCTTGTGTAACGTATGGAGTTATTGGTGCTACCCCTGAGACTCCCGGCCCGTGCTGAGGTTGCTTTAGTGCCTGCTCGAAACGCTGCTTTCCTGTAAAAGCCTTTCCTGTGCTGTACCTTGCTCTTAATCTGTACAGTGTGTCCGTATTTGAGTAATTAGGATTAATTGGGGGATTTTGAATTCCTGACTACTTCAGTGTGATCTCAGAGGTGATGAATAGGAATGGGATAATCTATAAGAGAGCAAGGTGGTGCTCTCCACTCCTAAGCCTGGCTTATCCTGCAGTCCTTGGGAGGAGAGGGAGCTGGGGGCATTGGGTACTTGAGCCCCAGGTCCTGTGCACAGCCTTGCTGAGCTCCACGYGAGGATGCAGCAGGCACGGGCTGTGCCGCACGGTGCAGCCGCTGCCTCCGTGAATCCCATTCCCTTGGGAACCTCTGAACATGAGTCACTATCGAACACATCTTGCTGCAGGACCGAGGTGTTTTACAGATGTTTGAACTGCTAATCCCCTTAATGATCTTATGATTTCTTGGCCTTTATAGTTGTATTTTCTTAGTAGCTTTCCCAAATTGTCTTTTGGGTCATTTATAGTAATTTATGTTCCGAGTTTAAAGGTGATGGCCATAACTTAATTGTCTTTTTCTGCTGGAAGAATAGATTTGCACTCCTGCTTTGCCTGCTCCCAGAGTTCATGGTCCACTAGCACGTGCGTCTGTGCTGCAGAACCCCAGGRCAGAGCAGTCCAAGTTCCCAGCCCCGGGAATCAGCGTCATGCGTGGCCCAGGTCGGACCTCCCAGAGCCAGAAGCGGGGGCAGTTGTGTGTGGATCTGGTCTCATTCCAAGCTAGGACAGCTCAGGTTTGGCAGTGGGCTGTGGGATCGGGGCTGATCCTGCCTGGGGACCATGGGGGAGATGTGCTGGGAGGGGCAAGGTGGTTCCCTCCTGCTCTTCAGCACTGGCAGGTGTAGTCTGGGATATATATACATAAGCTTTCTACAATGTATACACGAGCTCGTGACTGAAATTTGTTTTTGAGGTGTAAATTTGGAACTGGGAGCGCCAAGTCCCAGGCTTCGCTGGGCACTCTGTGCCCTTCGGGGCCCTGCTCGCTCCGGGGTGCGGGCACAGCACGTGGCAGCGCACTGGGCAGGGGCTGCCAGCCGTGGTGAAGGAAACCTAAGGACAGTGTTTGAGGAGGAGAGGGCCTTGCTGGAACCAAACCACCCTTTAAAAACAAACAAAAAAACCCCACGTTCCTAAGCTGGGTGCTTTGAGAGATAGGGAAGCCGCTCAGAGCTGCAAGATGCTGCCCTTCCACAAAGGCTCCTCTTTGCGCCRGCTGGCCTGTGGTTTCCCACCAGCAGAAGCTGCTCACTTGCAGTTTGTGTATGCTCATGGAGTACCTGTTTGGTGAGAACCTGACAAATGGTCTTCTGAAAGTAAATCAATTCTGTTTTCTTGGGCTTTCTTGAATATACATGATGTCCGGAGCCTGAAAAGCACAGCAGTGGCACAAGAGGAAGCAAACAGTGGGGCGCCAGTTAGGCTCTATGGCTCTCTGAAAGACTTTGTAGCCTCCTCTAAAGAAAAAGAAGAATGTGCCATTGGCGGTAGTGAGTCAATGGAACCTTCTTGTCGTCTTTGCTCTTGTCTCCTTATAAATAAACYGTTGTTGTCCATCCTTGGCATTTGCAGTTCATTGTGATAAATTGGTCTTGATGTGTCTGACATTTCAGCCGAGTTGTTTAATGGTGGCTTTTTCCTGAAAAGACAGACCTTGCTGTAGCTTGCGCTGGACCAGAATACACCCAGCCCAGGAGCYCTCGCTGTCACGTGTGGCCCTAACCCTTTCCTGGCTGGGAGGGCCGAGGGAGGCGCAGGCGCTTTGGTCACGGGGGCCCCAACAGCCTCGGTGTGGGCAGCAGCACGAGGAGGCACCAGGCCGGGCGGCGCTTGCTGAAGGCCGGTGTCGTGAGGTGGGCGACCATGGGGAGTCCATTTGTGCTGCCCCCATCTCTTGGGGGGAAAAGATGAAACGATGCAGAAGGATTTCTGCTCAGCCTTGCTCTGAGCTTTGTGCCAGCTCCCGCTGCTGCCCGAGCTCACGGCCTCCACGCGGTGCTCGCTGGGGTGCAGAGAGCTCTGGGATGTGGAGAGCCAGGGACCCGTGGCCAGAGCTTCCGGCGCTGCCTCCCTGCGACTCCCAGCTTTGATTTACTCTTTCCAAGTGTCTGTAATTGCTCCATGAGCAGGATGATTAACACGGAGCTCGCTTGCCATAATAGGAACCTGCTGCCCGTGCCTTGCCAAGCCTTTCATCTTCCCGAGGCTCCGCGGACTGGCCCGCAAGCCAAGCAGTAGTAGTGCCCGTGCCGGAGCCGTGAGCTGTAAATTACCCTTTAGGCAGTGCTCAGGCTGGGTTATGGCAGCATTATATAATCATATGGCACCTTCTGCAAARTTAAGTGCGTGGAAAGTGGTCCCATGTGTCTTGGCCAACTTTGTTCTCCAGGGAGAGCTACCAGGAGCAGGAGAAAGCAGGTCCCACGTGGCACCCCAAGGGAACTGCTTTCCATCTCCACAGCCCCAACAAGAACCAGGACGCTTCAGGCGGGGGTGGACCTGCAACCTGATTAAGAAGCATCTCCTTGGTTTTTATTTTTAGTTTCCCATTTCTCCCAGTGTGCAGGTCAAGGACAAACCTCACCCTTGAATGCACCGCACAAACATGGACTGGAGGCAAACCTGTAAAGTGCCAAAGTGAGGGCAATCGGTAGGAGTAAGAAATCCTAGTGAGGGAAGTTACTTATCTTTCATTTCCGAGCGTTAAGTTTGGCTGTGGTGCAAGCTGCAGTCCCCCAGCAAAGGGGAGCAAACAGCAACGCCTGCGTGGATGCAGCAGCCCCGGGGGGAACCAGAGGCGGGGAAGGCACCTCCCCATGCTCTATTTGTGGGGCAAAACCGCCCGCCTCTGATTTCAGCAGCCCAAGGGCGTAGGGTCCTGCTGTGTGGGCTGCTCTCCCCACCTGTGGGCCTTCTGGTGGCGGGTGATGCCGTTTTGCTCCTCCACAGGTCATGCAGCGTTCATGAATATTGCTTAGGCGGGCAGCGAGCAAATTCCAGTGAAGGTGCYGCCTTGCCCCGGGGTTAGAAACCTCAGTACATGTGTTATTAACTGTCCGTCTGTGGTGGGAGCTGATTTTTCTTGATGACTTGGCTGCCTGCAGCGTCTGGAAACCTGCAGGACAGAGCAGTCCCAGGTGGGGAGAGGCCAGAGAAATGCTGGGATTAGAGGATGCGTCTTTCTAAGCSGCTGAGTGATGCTTGGGGTTGTAGGAGGCCCTTGGGGAGCGGGTGGAACGGGGCAGGTGCCGTTTGCATCCTCCCTCGCTCGGCACCCATGGAAGTGGCTGACAGTGCCTAAAACTTCCTGTGCAACGTGGAAGGTATTTTTAATCCAGAACTTAAATTCCTGCCTCTTCAGTAGCCAAGCATGTAACGTGACCATCATTAGCGCCAAGGGAAAAAAAAATATTTGCAAACAATGTTCATTTTTTGCAGAAAGAGTAATTGGTGTTTTTAATAAGCACATCTACCCAATTGGGTAGTGATTCTGGAATCATAGGGAATGTATTGTTTAAACTGTGCAACGTTATGCACTGGAAATAATGTATTGTTTAAACTGTGGAGCATTATGCATTCAAGCAGCCTTGTCACAATAAATATAGATATGTTGCTCTTCAGACTAGTATGAATAGTAAGTAACTTCATTGCAGGAAAAAGAAAGGAGTTTTAGCATTGCAAAATAGTTTTATGAAGAGATTACGCTTCACAGCTTGCTTTGTTCCAGATAAATTTGGCATTTTTTTTCATAGTTTCATTCTGGCATGTACTAGTTTTTTTGCTTAAGTCACGCCTAATCTAGGTAGGTAGTTGGGCTTCTGTAGCACACGTGAGTTCATGCTTTTGCTTTCCACTTATTTTGCCAGGCTTACTGAGCAGAATCCAGCTAGGGCATGAAGTTCGGCAGTTCCCCTAAAGACCAAACGCACAAAACAAACCCTGATACTATCACGGGGCAGCTTGTGTCTCTGATGGCTTTGGAGCTCCTGTTTGCAGGGCGGTTTGTGCAGCGCTGCCTGCGGCTGCACAAGGCGCTCGTGCTGTAACAGCCACGGGTCAGCGTAGGGTGGCAGGGAGGCCGCCGAGGAGAAGGTGGGAAGGGGCAGGGAGGCCTCGGAGCCCCAGGGAGCAGCAGGGCTGGTGCAGGTTCCTGCTGTGAGGGAGGGCGGCCGGGAGCAGCGCTGCATCCAGCCGCGCTCTGCTCTGCGCCCCCGCGTCCCTGGAGGTTTCAAAGTTCAGTTTCGGGGGTTTTGTTGAAAGAAACCCTGACCTTTTTTCAGTTTTTAAAAGTGCTTGTGCGTGAGATGGTTTGAGCGGTAACACCACGGAACTGGGGTCCATCTGGGGTCCTGTTACAATGGCAGCAGCTTGAGCCATGCAAAATTAAAATAACTTTAAACATGCCAACTCTGTTAGCAGTGTCTGTAATTATGTTAATCATTTTTTTCTTTATTTTATCCTTCTAGCCAAGCAAGTGTGTCCAGCTGAAAAAATTAGCTGTGGAGACTCGAGCAACAAATGTATCCCGTCGTCCTGGAGATGTGATGGACAGAAGGACTGTGAGAGCGGTGCTGATGAGGCTGGTTGCACCCCTGGTGAGTTAGAGTGATGCTTTAATACATATGCAGCGTCTCCACTGGGGACTGTGAAAGTCCTAAAGTGACTTTTACAAATTGCATGTAAAGGGCTGGCTTTTCCTGCCAACAGAATTCATTCCCTCCACATTTGCAATGCTAAGTAGTGGATTTTAGCAAAGGAGAGGTAAAAAGACTTCTCTGGTTGTCTGTACTGTTCTGTGTTCAGAGGGCTGAGTGGGCTTTTACTACCATAGCAGACTACACTAGTCAGTTTGAAACACGAGCATCTGGATTAGCACCCAGGTGACTTCATGAGAGCTTTGGTGACTGCTCAGGAGGTGTTCAGACCCTCTGTGTGACAGGCCAGCAGTTTACTGTCGCCTCCCTGCTCCCGCAGAGGGCAGTCCTGTAAGCCAAGGCCAACTTCTGCAGGAACCTTTATAAATAGCTCAGCTTGACTGGCCAGCGAGGCAATGATATGCCGTTTATTGCAACAGTCTTAAATTTGGTCCCTGCGTGGTCATTGCCTTTTATTAAGTCTTTTTGTGCTGAATAAGAGAGCTCTCTAGTAGTGTTTTTCCTCAGAAAAGTCCAATTCTATACAATCAGGTCATTTCTCAGATGGTCTCTGTGGATAAAACTAAAATATATTTAGTTCTTTGTGCTTCTTATTGTCAAGTAGTTTCTGTTCAGTGAGTGCTCAAGTCATTTTTGTGGCTCCCTTTGGGATCCCAACTGATTTTCCAACTTTATACAGACTAGCAGAACTTGGGGAGTATTAGTTTTAACAGCACTGAGCAGAAGTAAAATCACCTTTCTTATACCGTTCTCATATATCTTTAGGTTTGTCTTTATTAAATTCTTCTTGTGCACGTGGTTCTAGGCTCTTAGGCTGCCTCTTGTTCTGTGTGACTGTGACTGCCGTTGAAAGCAGCAGTTTTTACTTCTAGGTTGTCAGTGAGTGATATCGTTGAGTAATAACATGGAAACATACCGATTTTTTTCATTTAATAACTGAAATTTGAATTCCTACCTGTTTCTTGATCGACTTTGCCTGCTCTACTGCAGTTGTGTGATGAAAATGGTTTCATGGAAAAATCTTGTGGTTCTGAGTAAAACACCATGCATAAAATTATTTCAGTGCAGTCAGCAAAGACCTTACTGTGTGAGCAGCCTGTTGTAGTATTTAGCAACTTATAAATTGTTTTTCCTGCCTCCAGTAGAAATTTTCCTTGTTGCGTCTCATGCTCGTTGACTCTCTCACTTTGCGCCTCTTAGAAAATTTGGCTGTAACATATTTAACTACAGGTTAGTCTCCTTTTCCAGAGCATCTCCTTCCCATGCTTGAGAAGACAAGTGCCAGGTGYGGGTCCGAGGCTGCCGCGGCCGTGCTGAGCACCGTGCGTGCTGTGCAGAGGGCCCGCTCCAATGCAGGGGTGCAGGCTGCCTCGCGGTACCTCCCTCTGCACGTGGGCAGGCTCAGTTGTTAAGAGGTTGCATCTTGGTAATGTTCTTAAGCCCCTGGCTTAAGTCTCTTACACTCATCAAGTTGTTTTGGCAACTCTCTTAGTATTCTCTATCTAGTGTATGTATTTTTTCTGTTGAATAGAAGTCGCCTTTGGATTAGAGGCATCTTTAGAAGAATTGTAATTGCTAGCGAAAAAAATAGTTATTTTTGCAGTATGAGTTAGTGAAGTTGAAACAAATTTTGCATAGGTGCATGCTGCTTAGGTCAGCAGTTGTTGTCTCACAGAGTCTGTTACTCATAACAAGAATTTGAAACTGCTGTCTTTGGATGTTTATTTTTCCCCAAAGCTCTGAGGTAGCCCCAGAAATGAAGTATGTTCCAGATATAGCATAATTTCAGTGTAGCGATGCCATGGGCATGGAACAGCGCAGTGTTTCCCTTCCGTATGTYCCAATGTCTCCTGCGTTGCTTTTCTTGCTCTGCTTGAGAGCACGGGCAGGTTCTTAAAAGTGGAAATTCAGTCAAAGGGCAAATCATCATCATCTGCTGCTGGCTGGGAGGTGAATTGGCAGCTTTCACCAGTCCCTGGCAATCGGGTGCTGTTGGCAGCGAGGCGGCCCCCTCGCTGGGTGCGAATGGGCGCTGGTCGGGGGGCAGAGGCAGGACCCCCCTCCAGCAGCAGCTCAACCTCCGCTGCAGTTCGGGGGGTTTTGCTGTCTAAGTGGCTGCAAACGTCAGAGGCTTCTGCTCTTCAAAGCCTGTCAACTCAGCGCCTCTCAACAGCGTTAAATTCCCCTGGAGAGGGAACAGGGCAGACGCTCCTGAGTGGCTCTAATGGGAGTTTTCTCAGTCAGGTTCATTGTTAAATGAGGCGTTTTCCTCGAGGCTGTGGACAAACGTTTAAACTCTGCGAGCTCCTGGAGGATTCGGAGCTATCCTCTTTTTATCCAAATCTGATAAGCACCACTGAGCCGCTCCACTGACACCCTGTGACCGTTCCTCATTCTTCACTGTTTRGAATCCTTCTTCATCCCTTTGCTCTTATCACAACAGCTGATTCGGACAAAGAAATGTCTGTTCCTAGGGTCAGACCTTTTTTTTCCCCTCCATCTTCACCTCTGCACTTGCTTTCTGGTTCTCATTTTACTGTAGCTCCATCCCCGACCACCATCTGCAGCCCCTTGGAGCAGRGCACTCGCTCATAGCCGAGGCTGCACCTCTCACCTGCACAGCAAACGTGTGTGCAGGTAACACATGTGCCTGGGTAGGCACTTGGAAGGGATTTCCCTTGTGCTCGGGGTCATTTCCGTGTTGAGAGCCTGCAGAGGTAGTGCGCAAGTCAAAGGTGACTTGAAGGTACTGGAAGTGAAGGCATCCAAGAGAAAAACGTGAAGCCTTTTCTAAGTCGATGTTAATAAAACTATTACTTTGAGCTAATGTGATACTCTAAATGCATTTTAATGCCAGCTTTTGCTATTTCTTGATAGGAATAATTGCCTCAGTATTATAATCCTTCAAAAGAATTTACGCTAAATACAGAGTTTATAAACATTGTTTCAGCCCACGTTTCTGCACTGGTAACAGCAGCACTAGTGGGCATGGGTGGTTGTGCTGAGACTCTGCAAGCAACCCTGCCTGTCAAAATGTTCACAGCCCAAGTTAAGTGAGGATGCTGCAGTGGCAAGGGGCATGGTAGGGCTATGATATCAATATCTCTCAAAAAACAGGCAGGAACAGGGCAAGTGTGTTAGGTCTATCCCCCTGTGCATGCTTTTGAGCTCCAACAACTTGCTCTTKCTTTTCATTTACTGCATTTGAGGTTTAATAACTCTTGATGGATTTTTTTTCCCTGAATTATCTAATTGCTYTGTGAATCAATGTGAGATGCATCCAGTGCAATCAGTGAAAGCTTTGGCAAGGTGAGCTGGAAGGGCAAAGCTTGTGTATCTGCCCTTACCTCGGCGAGCTGCCCAGGGGAGAGGCAGAGCYGTGCAGAGAACCGTGCTCTTCTGCGCCTGCAAAGAGCTGCACAGGCTTGTCTCCACTTTGTTCCTGTGCAGTTTTTGCCTTTTTTCCTCTCTCCATGTGCTTTGTCTTTTACTCAGTCACAAAGCTTCATGTTCTCCAGAAGGCATTTGTGTAACATACGCAGCAGTTTATGGAATCCACAAGTACTGCGTGCTCTTGTGGCGCTAAGCAGCTCGCACTTGCGCCCTGTTCTCTTGTGTTCAGTGCCCYGGAGCTGCGCGGGTCCCCGGCCTCCCCTCCATCCCTTGTGTCCTTGCACCTCTTGGTGCTTGTGCTGGGCCCCCTGCCGCCAAACAGGCCCGGCTCACTTGAATCCTGCTCCCGCTAAGCCTGGGCAGGTTGTGTGCATGTGGGGTTAGTGCACTATCTGAATACACTAGCCACTCTTTCAGGTATTTTAAGTGGAAGTAGGTAAGGTTGCCTTGCAAGCWGTAGGTAGGGTTGTGCCACTGACAACAACGGAATTTGTTCCTTAATTTTCACATGCTAACCTCCATTTCTGTGAATTCTATTTCTTAGCTGCCAGGTTGCTTTTTCCTTGCCCGAAAGTCAGGAGGAAAAATGCCAGCCGCTCAAGTGAGTTTTGGAACTTGGTTTTTCAGGTGTTCAGTGCTGCCCTTGTATCTCAGGATTACTTCTAGATATTGAGTCCTGTGATGTGAGATGCCAATGTGCAGAAAATCTCACTGTCAAGAACCGAATGTCCACAAAGGAGACAGAGGAGTCCTAAAACTTTGTTTGAATGGAGAGCCCTCACTCTTGGCTCTGCTCAGTCCTCCCCCCACATATATTCCTTAGTCCTGCTCATCAACCAAAGAATGTGGGGAACTCCCTTGTTTGTAAAGACACAAACCTGTGTGTAGCGCTCACCAGGCTGGAAGGGAGCTGGCTGGGAAAGGTTTCTTAAATAAACAAGAGAAATGGCAGAAAGCACCGGTGTGCCCAGCAGGAGGGCACGTGTTCTTGCCCTTGTGCCTCACGGCCTGCTGGCTGCCAGGCTATAGGTCATTTAGGAGATCCTCGGGACAGGAGTTTGTTGCTGCTTTTTGGTGAGCTTCTCTACAGCTTCTCCGTGCATCTCCACAAAAGGCGGCAGTGCTCCCGGGGAAGGTTCCCTTCCTGGTGGCTCCAGGAGCAGGAGACATGCAGAGCCAGCTCGTTCCAATGCGCTGCTGGTCCTCGGCAGCCCTCCTGTCACCGGAGAGAGCTGGCGGCACAAGGGGTGACTTAAAGCAGGTCAATCCCTGGCACCAGATCCTCCTGGTGAGCAGGTAGCAGATGGAGGGAATTACAAAGCCGGTTTAAAGGCACCTGCGCTCGCACATACTGGAAAATCTGACCTCTTTGTTAACAGCTAAATAGTTTTACCATGTTTTTAATCATTGTCCAGTAGCAGAGAGGAGCATCATGTCATCTCAGCACCACTTTCCTGTGGATGCAGTAGGAGCTGCTGGTCAGGGTTTACTTGTGCCAAGCCTACTTGTGCCAAGCCTCTGCAGAACGGACAGCAGCTTTTTGCTCG